TCCCATCAGCAGCCGCCAACCGCCATTCGCAACGGGGGGCGGAACAACGCATGCATGGATAGCCTCTGCTCTGTTCAGCTCTGCTCTGCCCTGCTCTCCCCTCTCCACCGTTCCCCCACCCCGCACCACTTTTGCCCCCCTCTCTTCGCGCGATCAGCCGCCCAGCGCAGCAGCACTCTGACTGGCGATCAGCGCGCATTTCACTCTTCCCTCGAATTCACCCCTCTTCCCCCCGTCAGTTTCCGTACCTGTCGCCTCTGTGCACCAGCCAAGCCTCCACTCCGCCCCACAATGAACCTTCCACCGTCAATTGCCGCCTCAAACCAGTCGGTACGCGGCTTCCTCCTCCCCCGTCCCTCCCCCTCCCCACCCCAAACGTCCCACCCCAATCGTTCCGCCCCGCTGAGCTTCATCCATCCTGTCTATTCTTCCTCCACCTTCATATTCCTGAAACCCTTGCTCAATCGCCAACCTCCTCTCCCACAACCATTTTCTTTCTCCCTGATTTCTGAAATCCTCCCATTTGTGAGCTGTCCTCTGTTGTTGGCTCAGCTTACACTTGTCTCTAAAGGCGTCGTCCTTAATAGAAAAAAATCAACAGCGTAATAGTACGGATTGTCGCTCGTATAGTACTCTAGGTTGATTTCCGTAGATCCAGGCAATATGCATAAGAATCAGCTCCAGGAGGTGGCTCAGAAGAACGGCTACAATCTCCCCTCTTACGCATGCATACGCGAAGGTCCAGACCACGCACCTAAGTTCAAAGCCACGGTGCTTTTCAATGGCGAAACCTACGTAAGCCCTGGCTATTTCGTATCTCTCCGCCAGGCGGAGCACGCAGCAGCCGAGGTGGCCCTTAAAAGCCTTTCCGAGTCCTGTCCGTCGCAGTCCATCGCGACAGTGCTCGACGAATCAGGCGTCTGCAAAAACCTGTTACAAGAAACGGCTCAGCGCGCCGGCGTGCCGCTGCCGAATTACAACACGGTGCGGTCGGGTCCCGGGCACCAGCCGGTGTTCACATGCACGCTCGAGGTCGCGGGGCTGCAGTTCTCCGGCGAGGCGGGCCGGACGAAGAAGCAGGCGGAGAAGAACGCCGCTATGTCCGCCTGGTCCGCGCTGAAACGACGTAAGTGCCCTTTAATGTCCAGCAACCGTCACTACTCCATTCATCGGTTCGCGTTCCATCGTCACATATTATGTAAAATTTTTCCGAACGTCTTTCCTCATGTCTGATCATTTTGATACTGGTGACTCATTTCGTGCAGACGCCGGTCGTAATCAAACGGGTCCCATGGAGGATTTCGATGTGACGGACGAGCAGGAGCAGAGCGCCATCGCGCGGGCTCTCGCGAACGCGTACAACGCCAGCTCCATTAAGAGCAGCCCCGCTATTCTCTCTCAACCAACCGACGCTTCTTACAGCGCGTACCTCCCCTCGCCGTCTCCCAAGGGTATGGCGTCCGCTCCGCTCTACACGCGCAACCGCAGCTCCGTCTCTCAGAAACCCAATCCCGGTCCTCTTTACGTGCCGCGCCACGTCAGCTCCGGCCGAACGTCAGAGTCTGCTTCTGGCAGCGGCAACGGTCGCATGATGACGTCATCGTCGTTCAAAATGCGTGAAGTGACCATCCGCGAATATTCCGTCGAGGATTCGCTTCCGGACAACCTCGGGAGCATCATGGGTGCGCCTCCGCAGTTCCCGCGCATGACTCACTCCAGCCCGCACATCGAGCCGCCCGCGCCGACTTACACCCGCCGTTCGGCCGCTGGCCGGTCGAGCGGCCCGGCCGACATCGGCAGCAGCGTGCCTAACTTTCCCACGCAGCCGCTAGTCTCCCAGTCCGTGCCACGTCAGCCTGGCCTCGGTCTCCCCCAATCAGAGCAATCTGCGGGGAACCAAACCTCTCGTTACACGAACATTGCCATCAAGCCCGGGATGGCTTATCAGCCGCGATCGGCGCGCGGAGGGCAGTCCAAGCCTGCCTACAACACCGGCTCGTCGTCGTACGTGCCTGCGGAGCGTATGGACGATGCCGGAAGCGACGGACGTTGGTCGCACAACAGTCGCCCGGTTAGCTCCAATGGCGGAGGCTTGCTGCCGAACCCCACGGACGTATCGGGTGCTGCCACGTGGTCGAGGCAGTCCAGCAGCATGCCGTATTGGCCCGCACAGGCGCCTATGGGTGCTATGCCATCTAGTCGGCCTGTGTCTGGCTCGTTCGCCGGCGGTAGGATTGGTGGGGTAGGTCCTGGCGTGGGTGCTGGCGGAGATTCCAAGGGCAAGCAGTGCCGCACGGAGCTGGAGGATGACGTGTCCGCGGCTGAGGCGACGACCCGCCAAATGCTCAACCACTTGTGCTTGTAACGAGGCGATCGAGAATCCTTGAGACTGCACAACAGCAGTTACGAATTGTCTGAGGCGTGTCTTTCCCTCCAGCACCTCCCTCACTCCGCTGCCTTATTTCGTTTATTTGTTAACGGGGTGAAGTCTCTATGCGAGTGTTACCTCACTCCCCTAACCATGCACTTCTCTCTGCACCTCCATTTTACAGCACTGGCTGTAGTGGCAGTGCATATTTAGGGGACTGTCAGTCAGCTCTATACTCTCCAGTGGAAACTGAACAGAATCTGAATAAGCATTTGTCTGTTGCCTGTTTGCCCATTTGTGTGTTAGTACTCCATGATTATGGGTTAAAATGTATGGCATTTGCCTTGAGCTTTTAGAATTGTCTGTAAGGCAGTGTACCAGGTACGGATTGTAGGGACAGCAATCAGATGTGGATTTGCCTCGATGGCATTGTCGTTGCAAGCAGATCATGGCAGGGTTTGCCAAACAGGTGGAGTTCAGTGAGTAGGTTTGCCCGAGCTTTGGTGTCATGTAGTACATGTTTTTAAGGAAAGTAAGACGAGGTGGGTGGGAGATGTTGCACATTTATTCATAAACTCTCCAGAGGTCTTACAGTACCTTGTCGTGCTCTGTTAAAATTAACCATATTTTAACGTGCTGTGAACATTTTGCAGAGAAAGCTGAACAATTCACTGCAGTAACATTGAAGTTAGCAGTTATCCGGGACTTTACCGCGGTGTAGTAGATGGAACAGAATTCGTTCCCCGATCACCTTTCCGCGAGCCCCGTGAAACCGAGGTACACACGATGTCCGTTTGACTAACCCAAGGTTGCCTTGTGAAGGGGGCGCTTAAGTGATTCATGCATTTCGTGGAGGTTTCGTCAATTCGCATCGGGCAAAAAGGGCTTATAGCAAAATTTTGTAACTCACCGTTGACTGTTTGACTTCGGTCTCTTCTGTTTCTGTGGTTCGTATTGGTTGACGTGCTTGTAACGTGGGTGCAACTGCCCGGGAAAAAACCTTCGTGTGCAAGGTTTCTGGAACGTGCGAGGCAATTTCGCGTGCAGGGGTTGGGCATCTTGTGTACAGCCCTGCTGCCCTGCGCCCTTGCGCCCAGCACATCCGCTTGCCTTCCGCCGCTCCCTCCCTCTATGCACTTTGTACCCAACTTGGCCGCTGGTTTTGTTCCTTCCGCAAGGCACAAGCCCCTCGGAACCAAACCCCGGCGCGCAGCAGCACGCTGCATTCTCTCTCTGCAGGTTCGGGACTAGGCCGCTGTGACGCCAACCGCCAACACCACGCAACCACTAAAGCAACCCCAGCCGAGCTGACCCCCCTGCTCCTGTCACCCTTGGGATTGCCTGCCAGCCCTGTGGTGTTCCTCGGGATTTGCCCGCAGTGTGAAGATAGCTTTCACCCTCGATCACAACGGTTGAGTCTGTTCCATTACTAAAACAGCACGTTTCCCCGCGTTTTAGAGGATCTCAGTGCGATAACTCTAAGCTTATCCCCTCCAGACTTGTCGCTGTCACTTCTCTCCGGACTTCCCAGCTCCCTCCTCTCTGCACTTGTGTCTTGCTGCCTTCTGCTCCTCCTAACCCCTGCTACTCTCTGGGGACTTAGCGTCAGGATTTGCAACTGAGCAAGAGGCTCAGGAGCCAAGTCTCAGGACTTAGCGTCTGAGCAGGAACAACAGGCAGAGGTTCCAGCCTACGCACCTGGCCGACTTGCCAGGGAGTTAGTTCTCCCGTTTGCGACATCCGCAGGCAGTTGGGCGCGTTATGCGCTGTTAGCTCTCGCCCAATTAAGGGTTTGGCATGGAGGCCGGCCGCTGATCGTCTGTCCGTCAGCCATTGAACACCACGCCTTGCACGCGGATGGTTCTAAATTGTCCCGTTGACGGTAAGGGGGGCGCGGTTATTCAATTCCGTGAGTTTTTGCCAGGCTTTTGCAGTAGAGAATAAGGTTCATCCACGAAGTGTCCCCCGAGCATCCAAACAAGTCTTCATATTTGTCTAGATGAATGTTGTCTTAGCTGGTCGGTCTTTCCAGCCAACCGCGTGAATTCGCCTCGCTGCGATATGTACGCGTGCATGTTTGTTGTTTCTTTCTGGCTCATGTTGGTTTCCGGCTTACGCTTGTTCCATCCTGTCGCGACGCGTTGCTTCGAATTTCGCATTTGAAAGGAAACTGATTCAAATTTCACCATCCCCCTGTTCAGCCGACTGTTAGTCCCTGTTGCCTTGTCGCGACCGTTCTACATAATGGAGCCCGATTCTGACTTACGCGCGTGTCTGGCTGTCGCGAGTTGGCTCGTCAACGTTTCTTCCCGGCGTCTTTCCGTCTTGCTCCGTCGCTCCTCGCCACGCCTTACCATTTTAACTATGATCTCGATGCTGAACTCACGCGAATTCCCTAAATCTGACTCGCACGGGCTGTTCCCAAATGAGCTCGTGCCTATGCGCGTATTCTTAGAAGTCGGCGCCGTTGTAACACCATGCGCGTGAATCACTCGTTCCGCGTCCCTGATTCCTTGTCCATCCCCGTGTTTCCCCGTGATCATTGTACTTCTCTCACAGGTTCTGACTTTGAGTGAACTGAACTCAAGATTGGGTCGTCTGGACGCGTCTGTTAAAGCTGCTGCTTCGCGCCATGGATTCAGATGAAGATGCGCCTTTCACGGCCAGACGCGCCAAGCCCGCTGCTGCGCCCGCCGCCCGTCCCGCTGCCCCGCTCCGCCCGCACTCCTCTCCCGCCGATCGTCCGCGTTCTTCGCCCGGCGGCGGGAGAGGCGGCGGAAGAACCGGCGCGAATAGCGGCGTCCGCCCACCGATGAAGAGCGAGCCGCGCCACGCGTCGGATGACGACGACGACGTGCCGTTGGGAAAGCTAGCGGCCGGCCCGGGCTCGGCACCTCGGCCGGGGGATAAACGGCCGGCGGAACGGTATCCGGGGAACGGGGGAGCGCGGGATGGCAGCGGCGGGGGTCGCGACGGGCCGAGCCCCGCGGAAAAGCGGGCGAAGGCGGAGCCTGTGACTGTAAAGGGGGAGAACGATTCGCGTGGTTCTAGGGACGGGGGAAACGCGGGGAACGGGTCCGGAGGGGCTGGGAGGGTGAAACCCGAACGGGCAGATGAGGACGACGAGAAGCCGCTTAGGAGCTTGCGTCCAGGCAGCGGGCAGGGGAGCGGGCAGGGCAGCGGGCCGGGCAGGGGAGTGAAGAAAGCGGAAAAGGCGGAGAGCGAGGAGGAGGAAGAGGAGGGGAGTGAGGAGGAAGGAAGTGAGGAGGAGGGGAGCGAGGAGGAAGGGAGTGAGGAGGAGGGGAGCGAAGAGGAGGAGAGCGAGTCTGAGAGCGATGAGGACGTGCCTCTAGCGAAACGAGCTGGAGCGGGTGGGAGCGCTGCTGCTGGTGGTGCTGCCGGTGCTAAGGCAGGTGCCAGAGCGCCAGCGGGGGGAAAGAAGGGGGCGGCGAAGGGCGCGGCGAAAGGCAGTGCGGCGGGGGGAGCGAAGAAGGGGAAGAAGGAGGACAACTCGGTGAAGTGGAAGACGCTGTCTCACAATGGGGTGATCTTCCCACCGCCCTACACGCCCCATGGCGTGAAGATGCTGTATAATGGCAAGCCCGTCGACCTCACTCCTGCTCAGGAAGAGGTGAGCGTCGGTTGCCTGTTCTGCCCTGCCCTGCCCTGGCCTGCCTGCCTGCTATGGCGTGAAGATGCTGTACAATGGCAAGCCCGTCGACCTCACGCCCGCCCAGGAAGAGGTGGGTCCTGCCTCTCCTACCACGCCTTGCCCTCCCCTGCCTTGCTCTCCCCTGCCTTGCCCTTCCCAGTCCTGCCCTGCCCTGCTCTGCCCGGCCCTGCCCCGCTTCGCTACCCTGCCCTGCCCTGCTCTGCCCTACCCTGTCCTGCTCTGCCCTTCTGTGCCTGCGTGCCTGCCTCCCTGCCCTGCCCCAGCCCTGCCCTGCCCTGCCCTGCCCTGCCCTGCCCTGCCCTGCCCTGCCCTGCCCTGCCCTGCCCTGCCCTGCCCTGCCCTGCCCTGCCCTGCCCTGCCCTGCCCTGCCCTGCACTGCCTTGCGCTGCCCTGCCTGCCTGCCTGCCTTCCCATGCCATCCCATGCCATCCCATGCCATCCCCTTACGCCATGCACCATGAACCTTGCCGTGCTATCCCACCCGTTGCAGGTAGCCACCATGTTCGCAGTGATGCGAGAAACGGAGTACGTGACAAAGCCCGTGTCCCTGAAGAAATTTTTGAACGACTGGCGTAAGGTGCTGGGGCCCAGGCACATGATTCAGACACCCATGTGCCATGCCGTGCCGTGCCTCCCTCTTCCCCCTTGCCATTCCACCCGCACCCGCAGGTAGCCACCATGTTTGCAGTGATGCGAGAAACGGAGTACGCAACAAAGCCGGTGTTTCTGAAGAACTTTTGGAACGACTGGCGCAAGATACTGGGGCCACGGCACGTGATTCAGAAGCTGGAGTTGTGCGACTTCTCGCCCATCTGGGAGTGGCACCTGGCAGAGAAGGAGAAGAAGAAGCAGATGACCAGTGAGGTGAGCGGTTCAGAGCGTTTTGAGGGAGAGACAGATGGTTGCAGGGGTGAGAGGCGAATGGTAGTGTGAGGGTGACTCATGGGGGAGGGAGTGAGTGGCACATGATTGAAAAGCTGGAGCTGTGCGACTTCTTGCCCACCTGGTAGTGGCATTTGGCGGAGAAGGAGAAGAAGAAGCAGATGACGTCCGAGGTGAGCTTGACTTGAGGGAATGAATAGGGGCAGGTGCAAGTACCGAGACTCAGGTGGGTGTGAGAGTGACTCTTTTGGGCGAGTTACCTGATTTAGAAGGGGGAACTGTACGGCTTCACGCCCTGGCACCTGGCGGAGAAGGAGAAAAAGAAGCAGATGACGTCCGAGGTGAGCAGGATGGGTGGAGGAAAGGGTTTAGATGGTGAGAGAGGAAAGGGTTTGGATGGTGAGAGAGGAAAGGGTTTGGATGGTGAGAGAGGAAAGTTGCTGGTAGAGGAGGTCAGAGGCGACAGGCAGGTAACCTGTGAGTGATAGGCACATGCGTTTCTTCACCTTGTTTCGCCATAAGGTTCCAGCTTTCCAGCTCTGAACACACTTTCAGGTCCCCACCCTTTTGAGGCGCCTCAGAAGTCACCTTGTTTCGCCTGAAGGTCTCAGCTCTGAACGCACTTTCAGGTGCCCACCCGCTCACAGCACTCTCGTCTTTTCCCTCCCTATTGCGGCACCAGGAGAAGAAGGCTCTGAAGGAGGAGAAGCTAAAGGCAGAGGAGAAATACATGCATGCAGTGATTGATGGGTTGAAGGAGAAGGTGAGACTTGCGAGGCTGTCATGCCATGTCATGCCATGGCATGTCCCATCCTTTGCTGTCATGCCGAGTCACGTCCCGTCTTATGTGTCACAACTTGTAAAGTGCGCCCTGGATCACAAATTACTCTCCACTCCTCTCCGTCAGCTCATTCCGTCTCCCCTTCTTGTCCCGTGTCCCTGCTCGACCCTCGTCCCCTTCAGGTTGGCAACTTCCGGGTGGAGCCGCCTGGGCTGTTCAGAGGACGGGGCGAGCATCCCAAGGTGGGGGAGGGGGAGAGGATATGGGGTGGGGGGGGAGAGGAGGGGGAAGAAGGGAGAAGAGCGAATGAGAGAGGGGGGAAAGGTTGAGAGGGGGCAAGGGCGTTACAAGAGGGTTCATGCTGATTGCAGTGGCTTCAGGCAGTACCACTCCCTTCATTGGCTTCCACGTGTGCACAGTTTGAGACGCTCACATGTTAAACTCCCTCCCCACTTTCCTTCCCCTTCCCCTCCTTTCCTCCCCCCCCCTCCTTCCTTCTCCTTCTCTTTCCCCTCCCTTCTGCCTGCTCACTGCCTGCTGGGGCAGATGGGCAAGCTGAAGCGGCGGATAATGCCAGAGGATTTTGTGATCAACAATTCAAACCCCCCAATGCCCCTTCCCCCTTCTCACTCGCCTCTCTGTCCCCACTTGTTCCTGCACACCTGGGCAGATGGGCAAGCTAAAGCGGCGGATAATGCCGGAGGATATCGTGATCAACATTGGCAAGGAGGCACCCGTGCCCGAATGCCCCATACCCGGCCACAGGTGCGTCTCCTGCTCGCGTCCTAGAGGTGAATGACTTTGCTGGAGTGACTGAATGCGGAATGGTTGAATGCGGGATGGTTGATTGCGGAATGCATTTTGGATGGTGTTTCCATTCCACGTGACATCTTTTCATTGTCGCCCACACGCGCTGAAATGTCTCAACATGTCATGTCGTCTACCCACCCACCCACGCGCGTGGTAGGTGGAAGGAGGTGCGGCATGACAACACGGTCACATGGCTGGCGTACTGGTTCGACCCGATCATCTCCCCACACGCCATTGTCCCCCTGCCCCCCTCCCACTTCCCCCATCTCAGGTGGAAGGAGGTGCGACACGACAACACGGTCACATGGCTTGCGTACTGGTTCGACCCGATCAACCAAAAGGACTTCAAATACGTCTTCCTCGCTCCCAGCAGCCGCCTGAAAGGCCTCTCGGACAAGGAGAAGTACGAGAAGGCACGGAAGCTCAAGGTGAGTGCAAGCTCAGGACTACGAGAGCGGTACGGTACCTTAGATCCAGAAAGCGGTTTCTTAGGACCCAGGTCCTCTCTGTCGCGTCCACCTCAAGGGGCTTTCGGACAAGGAGAAGTGCAAGAGCTTTCCAAGATCCGCACCACGTGCACAAAGCACGTTACATCCAGGGACGAGCCTGAATAGCATGCTGACTTTTGAGTCGACTCAAAAGTACACAAAGCACTTTACGTCCAAGGACGAGCGTGAATAACATGTCAATGCTCGTGGTGCTCAACCCCCTGTCTCCCACATCTCTCATTCCCACCCTCACTGCTCCCTGCTCCCGCTCTGAGGACCACATAGGCAAGATCCGCGCCACGTACACGAAGCACTTCACCTCCAAGGACGAGGCTCAAGCACCCTCTCGTTGCTTCCCCTCCTCCCACGCCCCCTGCCTCATTCCTCCCCCCCCCCCCCCCCCCCCCCCCACCAGGACCACATAGGCAAGATCCGCGCCACGTACACGAAGCACTTCACCTCCAAGGACGAGGCTCAAGCACCCTCTCGTTGCTTCCCCTCCTCCCACGCCCCCTGCCTCATTCCTCCCCCCCCCCCCCCCCCCCCCACCAGGACCACATAGGCAAGATCCGCGCCACGTACACGAAGCACTTCACCTCCAAGGACGAGGCTCAAGCACCCTCTCGTTGCTTCCCCTCCTCCCACGCCCCCTGCCTCATTCCTCCCCCCCCCCCCCCCCCCCCCACCAGGACCACATAGGCAAGATCCGCGCCACGTACACGAAGCACTTCACCTCCAAGGACGAGGCTCAAGCACCCTCTCGTTGCTTCCCCTCCTCCCACGCCCCCTGCCTCATTCCTCCCCCCCCCCCCCCCCCCACCAGGACCACATAGGCAAGATCCGCGCCACGTACACGAAGCACTTCACCTCCAAGGACGAGGCTCAAGCACCCTCTCGTTGCTTCCCCTCCTCCCACGCCCCCTGCCTCATTCCTCCCCCCCCCCCCCCCCCCCCCACCAGGACCACATAGGCAAGATCCGCGCCACGTACACGAAGCACTTCACCTCCAAGGACGAGGCTCAAGCACCCTCTCGTTGCTTCCCCTCCTCCCACGCCCCCTGCCCCCCCCCCCCCCCCCCCCCCCACCAGGACCACATAGGCAAGATCCGCGCCACGTACACAAAGCACTTCACATCCAAGGACGACCAGATCCGGCAGGTGGCTGTCGCAACGTACCTCATTGACAGGCTGGCACTGAGAGCAGGCAATGAAAAGGTAAGGTGTGGGCGTAGGGCTTGGGCTATGAAGCATGGGGCACGAGAAGAGGGGGGCGCAGGAGATATGTAGGGGGCAGGGGGACATGGGCACGCCACTTCACATCCAAGGACGACCAGATTCGGCAGGTGGCTGTTGCCACGTACCTCATTGACCGCCGGGCGCTGAGAGCAGGCAACGAGAAGGTGAGATGGGGGGTTGCTGGTGAAAAGGGGCATGGAGCGCACCGCACACACACACACTTCACGTCCAAGGACGACCAGATACAACAGGTGGCTGTTGCCACGTACCTCATTGACCGGCTTGCGCTGAGAGCAGGCAACGAAAAGGTAGATGAGAGGAAGAGGGTGGTAGCGGGGGAGGGGCAGTGCGGAGGTATGGTGAGATGAAAGCATGGGGAAGGTGGCCGTTGCCACTTACCCCATTGATGGGCCGGCACTCAGAGCAGGCAATGAAAAGGTGATGAGAGGGAGGGTGGCAAACGGGCGTGGGGGCAGAGCGGCAGCAGTGGAGCAGGTGCAAGTGGAGAAGGTGTGGATAGAGGCGACGCTCGTGCAGTTCCTAGAGTTCCTGGTCTCAAAACCACTAGGCTCACATCACTCATTGCATCTCCAAGGTTGCTGATCTCGAGGCAATGCAGTGGCCACCTGACACCACGACACCATGCCTCCACGAACACTCTCTCATACGCATTTGCAAGCCGCACTGACACAACGCATGGTTTGATTTTGGGAGTGTTCATGGAGGTACGGTGTGGTGGTGTCAGGTGGCCACTGCACTGGCCTCAAGTTCCGCGACCTTGGAGATAAGCTGATCGATGTGGGCCTCGTGGCGCTTCCTCAACTCCAGGAGTGAGGCAGAGTGCATAAGGCTTGAGGTAGTGAGTTCGATTAGACAAGCCTTGTCATTGACAATAACCCTCCATTGTCGTGACTAGCTGGTACTGTGAGCACACAGGCTCCCTTCCCCCACTGACTAGGCAGATGCACGTTGGGCTGCTGCTCATTCTAAGGCACGTACCTCCCTCGCCCCCCAATCCCTCTTCCCCCTCCTTGCATTATCCCCCTCGCTTTGCCACCCCTTGCCAGGATGATGACGAGGCGGACACGGTGGGTTGCTGCTCGCTCAAAGTGGAACACGTCACACTCGTGCCGCCCTCCTCGCTGCAGGTATGAGCATATAGCTAAAAGTTTTGAGATGTCTGAAAGAATGAAAATATAGCCAAAGTTCGGAGACATCTCAAAAGATGATCATATGACTAAGTTTTGAGACGCCTCATTCATGAGCATTTAATTCAACTAAAAGTTTTGTGATGTTTCAATATATGATTCGCAGTTGAAGTGGAGCCTTTGGTGTACAAGGCGATAGGGGGCTTGAGGAAGGGCAAGAAGAAGGACGAGGACCTGTTTGACCCATGAGCTCTGGAGTTTGTGAAAGGCATCTTCCCTCCTCTTCCCCTCACCACATTCCTCTCTCTCTCCCCTCACCCACCCTCTCTCCCCTACTCCTGTACCCCCCCCCCCCCCCCCTGCACAATTTGACTCCCATCCGCTATTTCAAGTTTCAACACGGTGGAAGTGGAGCCGCTGGTGTACAAGGCCATAGGGGCCTTCACCTTCACCCATCATCCCCTGTCCTCCCTCTCCCCCCCCCCTCCTGTACAGTTTGACTTCCTGGGTAAGGATTCGATCCGCTATTTCAACACGGTGGAGGTGGAGCCGCTGGTGTACAAGGCGATTGGGGGCTTCATCCTCACGTGCCCTCCTCTCTCCGCCCTTCCCCTCCCTCCCCGCACAGTTTGACTTCCTGGGTAAGGATTCGATCCGCTATTTCAACACGGTCGAAGTGGAGCCTCTTGTGTACAAGGCGATAGGGGGCTTCAGGAAGGGCAAGAAGAAGGACGAGGACCTGTTTGATAAGCTCGACACGACGAGGCTCAACGCGCATCTCAAGGAGATCATGCCCGGCCTCACTGCTAAAGTCTTCCGTACCTACAACGCATCCATCACACTTGACACACTGGTGAGTGCCCTTGCAACGTGTTGACAAGAAGAAGGACGAGGAGCTGTTCGGCAAGCTGGACGCCACCAAGCTCAACGCCCACCTTAAAAAGGTCATGCCTGGGCTTACAGCTTAAGTCTTCCGTACCTACAACGCATCCATCACACTTGACACGCTGGTGAGTGCGCTTATAACAAGGCTGTATTGCTTCCGGAAGGGCAAGAAGAAGGACGAGGATCTCTTTGATAAGCTGGATACCACCAAGCTCAATGCACACCTTAAGGAGATCATGCCCGGCCTCACAGAAAAAGTTTTCCGTACCTACAACGCCTCAATTGCCCTCGATACACTGGTGAGTGCCCTCTTGCGCATGTTTGTTTCTCTTGCTTCACTGGTGAGTGAGTGGGTAGGTGTGCGCACAGCAGGAAGGCAGGTAGGCAGAAGTGCGCACAGCAGGTATTTCCTGGTGGCAGAGGCAGCAGTCAGGCAGTCAGGGGCCAATTTTGCCGCGTCTGCTCTGTTGGATTGTTTCCATCCCTACTGCCTTGGTGAGTCGTGTATCCTGTTCTCTCTGCTCTCCCCCTCTCCGCCTGGTGGTGGAGAAGGTAGCGGACTACCAGCGCGTCAACAAGGAGGGGATGAGGCGATCTGTCTCTCTCTCCCTCATCCTTGCGCCACCCTCATTCCTCTCTTCCCCTTTCCCCAATCATCAGCTCCAAGACACGGTGGGCAGCCTCGTGGTGGAGAAGGTAGCGGACTGCCAGCGCCAACAAGGAATTGATGGGCTCACATGTGGCCGCCCCTCCTCCTTTTGTGAACCGTCTTCCTCTCTTCCCCTTTCCCCATTCCATCAGTTGCAAGACACGGTGGGGAGCCTGGTGGTGGAGAAGGTGGCCGACTATCAGCGCGCCAACAAGGAGGGGAGATGAGGTGACATGTCTCATCTCCTCCTCTGCCCTTCCTTCATCTTTCCCCACCCATGTGTGCAGTTGCAAGATACGGTGGGGAGCCTGGTGGTGGAGAAGGTGGCGGACTACCAGCGAGCCAACAAGGAGGTGGCCATTCTCTGCAACCATCAGCGATCCGTGTCCAAAGCGCATGCAGCGCAGATGGAGAAGATGCAGGCCAAAATGAAGGAGCTGGAGGTGAGGACTGCTGTGTGTTACTGTGCTGTGTGTTACTGTGCTGTGTCAGTGTATGCGCCATGGCAGTGTGTGTGCTTGCTGCTACCACCACGTCATGCAACCACCAGCGCTCCGTGTCGAAAGCGCATGCAGCGCAGATGGAGAAGATGCAGGCCAAAATGAAGGAGCTGGAGGTGAGGACTGCTGTGTGTTACTGTGCTGTGTGTTACTGTGCTGTGTCAGTGTATGCGCCATGGCAGAGTGTGTGCTTGCTGCTACCACCACGTCGTGCAACCACCAGCTCTCCGTGTCGAAAGCGCATGCAGCGCAGATGGAGAAGCTGCAGGCCAAAATGAAGGAGCTAGAGGTGAGTGGGCTGGCAGCTGTTCCTGTATGGCTGTGTGTGAGTGGGCTGGCAGCTGTTCCTGTATGGCTCTGTGTGAGTGGGCTGGCAGCTGTTCCTGTATGGCTCTGTGTGAGTGGGCTGGCAGCTGTTCCTGTATGGCTCTGTGTGAGTGGGCTGGCAGCTGTTCCTGTATGGCTGTGTGTGAGTGGGCTGGCAGCTGTTCCTGTATGGCTCTGTGTGAGTGGGCTGGCAGCTGTTCCTGTATGGCTGTGTGTGAGTGGGCTGGCAGCTGTTCCTGTATGGCTGTGTGTGAGTGGGCTGGCAGCTGTTCCTGTATGGCTGTGTGTGAGTGGGCTGGCAGCTGTTCCTGTATGGCTGTGTGTGAGTGGGCTGGCAGCTGTTCCTGTATGGCTCTGTGTGAGTGGGCTGGCAGCTGTTCCTGTATGGCTCTGTGTGAGTGGGCTGGCAGCTGTTCCTGTATGGCTCTGTGTGAGTGCGCGCGCGCACATGTGTGTGTGTCTGTGTATTTGGTTGTTGCTTGTATCGTCTCATGCAACCATCAGCTCTCCGTGTCCAAAGCGCATGCAGCGCAGATGGAGAAGCTGCAGGCTAAGATGAATGAGCCCGTGCGTGTATGTCTGTGCGTGTATGTCTGTGCGTGTATGGCTGGGCCTGTGTGTCAGTGTCTCACTGTTGATGTTTTGGTTCTTGTGTGTGAGCGTCTTCCTATGTCAGTGTCTATGTCGCCAGCTCGTGCAATCACTTACTCCATCCCCCCACCCTCCCCCCTTCCCACTGCCAGGATGCGGTGGAGGAGATGGAAGAGGATTTGGATCGGGTACGCAAGGGGAAGACGCTCGTGAAGAGTTGAGATACATCAGCCTGAGCCTCCGACTTTCTTCCTTCCTTCTTCTCCCCCCTACAGGATGCGGTGGAGGAGATGGAAGAGGATTTGGATCGGGTACGCAAGGGGAAGTCGCCCGTGAAGAGAGAGGGCGAGGGGGCGCGCAAGGTCAACCCTGAAGCGTGAGTGCAAGCAAGCTGTGTTGCCGTGTGATGGTAGTGACGTCTCTGCTGCATGGACATGCACCTGTACTGCACATGCACATGCACATGCACATGCACACGCACATGCACATGCACACGCATATGCTCCCTCCCTTTCTCCGATGCCTTCCTGCCTTTCTTCCCTTGTCTTGAAGCAGACTGGAGAAGAAGCTATCACAGTCCGAGACGCTGCTGGGAATATTGAGGCTGCACATGACGGTGGCGTTTGTCTCCTCTCTTTCTGCGCCGCTCTCAACCTCTTACTCTCCGCCCTTCTCTTTCACGCAGGTTGGAGAAGAAGCTAGCACAGTCCGAGGCTCAGCTGGGAGAAATGAGGCTGCACATGAGCATCAAAGACAAGCTCAAGAGGCGCCCCTCCCTCTGCACCACTCCTAACCTCTTCCTCCCCGCCACCCACCTCCTCCAACCCATTCATGCACATGCAGACTGGAGAAGAAGCTAGCTCAATCCAAAGCGCGGCTGGAGAAAATGAAGCTGGACATGAGCATAAAGGACGAGTTCAAGACGGTGGCAAAGGGCACCTCGCCCTCTGCACCGCTCTCAACCTCTTACTCTCCACCCTTACTTTGTGTGCGCACAGACTAGAGAAGAAGTTAGCTCAATCCAAAGCGCGGCTGGAGAAGATGAAGCTGGACATGAGCATAAAGGACGAGCTGAAGACGGTGGCGCTGGGCACGTCAAAGATCAACTACATGGACCCGCGCATCACCATCGCCTGGTGCAAGCGCCACGACGTGCCTATAGAGAAGGTGCGTGGGGGCTGGCTGCAAGTGGTGTGACGTGCTTATAGCGAGGGTGCAGACGGTGGCGCTGGGCACATCAAAGATCAACTACATGGACCCGCGTATCATCATCGCCTGGTGCAAGCGGCATGACATGCCTCTAGCGAAGGTGTGTGTGCTCTTACAAAATATCCCTCTGTCGCATGTCAGCCAGGCTCACGCCACCACATGCCAGCCAGTTTTGTGTGGGGCTTGTTTGCTCTCTGCACCTCCAAGATCTTGGTCCCTCGGTGAAGGGACCCGAACATGATACCCCATCGATCGACTACATGGACCCGCGTATCACAGTTTCCTGGTGCAAGCGCCACAACGTGACTATAGAGAAGGTGCGGTTTGTGTAGAAACCTCTGCATCGCATCATATGCCAGCCGCAGGCCTTCCATCCATGAGCCACACGCCAGCCACAGGCCTTCCATCCATGAGCCACACGCCAGCCACAAGCAAGCCAGTGCGCGGAACTCGTGTGCTCTCCCCACCGTTTCAAAAGCCTCCTCGTTCCACGTTGCCTTGCTCTATTCTGTGTCATTCACCGTTCTTTATCGATCACTGTTTGCCCTAAAGAACGTATACTCTCCTCCCAGGCACCCACACGTATACTCCCCCTTCCCTCCCTTCCCCCCTCTTCCCTTCTTTTTCATGCCCTTCCCCTGCGTGCCACCCCTCTCTCTCTACCATCACCCATCCAAGCAGATTTTCAACAAGTCACTGCTTGCCAAGTTTGGATGGGTCATGAATGTCTCTCCGCACTTCCGCTTCTAACAACACACTCTTCCCTTTTCTTTGCCCCCTTCCCCTGCGTGCCACCCCTCTACCATCACCCATCCACGCAGGTCTTCAACAAGTCACTGCTTGCCAAGTTCGGATGGGCCATGGATGTCTCTCCCGATTTCCGCTTCTAACAACACACTCTTGGTCCAGCCAGCCTACCGCCTTGGTCCAGCCCACCGCCTTGGTCCAGCCCACCACCTTGGTCCAGCCCACTGCCTTGGTCCAGCCTACCGCCTTGGTCCAGCCTACCGCCTTGGTCCAGCCTACCGCTTCGGCCCGACTCGTCAATACCTACATCTCACTCTCTAGTGAAGCGGGATCACATCACAGCCGTCCATGTGCAAGCCGCCCACAGCTATCAACGCGCTGCGATGCGATTCCATCACGCCTCTGGGTAGCTTGTGGCAATTTTTCCCCTTCTTCGGGTGTGGTGGCAGTGGATGCTGCAGCACCTGCCGAGCCGACCATGCATATGGTTTTGTCCTCATTAAGCCCTTGCTTTTGTTTTTAGGAATGTGCTATACATATGGAGATTGCGAGTGTGTTGTACGTAATATTTGTTATTGCTGCATTACAGAACCCAAGTTGAATGAGGTATCTTGAACTGCACTAAGACCGATGTGGTGTGGTACCCCATTTTGTTCTGAAAGTGTCCTGATCACAGGCAGAAGCTTTTTTTCTGGTACGGTTCCATTGTATGGGCAGCACCTAGTAAACCTGTGCAGTCAAATATCGATGCTCCTTGAAACATTTCATGCTGTGCTTATCATGGCCATCAAGAAGCCATCACGACCACCTCCTTCCAAATCTCCTTCCTTTGAAGTCAGCTAATCATCAGCGCCCAACAGGGGTCTATTACACTAAGGGGTCATGATAAGTTCAAGTATGGTCGTGAGTAGCGGGTTCCGAACCGCTCTAGAGTGCACACTGTCTGAATGAGAACTACAGCGGAATGTGTTGCATTGACAGAATTGGGGTACATAACCTAACCCTAACTAGTTGTACCCCATATAGCCCAACCCACTACAGGCTATAATATTTGACACACCCCCATAGCCTAAGTGGGGAAGGCCAATCAACAACAAGCAACCTACGGTCACAAGACCAGTCAAAAGCAAGAGAAAGAAAACAAAGCTCAGGGTGGATCACAACGTCACCACCTAATCTGAGCACAAGCAAAGGGCCACAAGGCCAGTCCAAAAGTGTGCAAACAAATATATATGAGGTACAAGCAAGCAACAGACAAAGAGCACCCTACAGCAGTCAACTAGACCCAGTCTCAACGAGGCCTAACTGCAGACAAAACCGGCGGTGGTCACAAGGCTGGAGGGCCTTGGTGAAGATGTCTGCAGTGTTGGCCTCGGAGGCCACGAAGTCCAGACGTGCCTGCCCGCGTCTCTGCAACTCTCGAAGGAGGAAGTACCTGACGTCGATGTGCTTCACTCTGCTCTCCAGTCGAGGCTCACGACACAGGAGAATCATCGCCTTGTTGTCAGCAAACAAGGTCGGTGCAGAGCTCGGCCGCTCACCAAGGTCAGTGAGCAAGAAGGTCAACCAGCGTAGCTCCTGTGCAGCAAGGGCTCCAGCGTAGATCTCGGCCTCTGCGGTAGAAGTCGCAACAGAGGAGGACCGAGTAGACCTCCACGAAACAGCTCCAGAGCCCAGGCTGAAACAGTAACCCTGTGTAGACCTCTGTGACTCAACGTCGTCGGCGTAGGAGGAGTCGCAGTGACCGGTGAGTACAACTGGCTGTGTCCCTCCAAGTACAAGCCCCATGTCTGATGTCGCGCCAAGGTACTTCGCCACCCTCTTAGCCGCCGCCCAGTGAACAGGACGGTGTCTCCCTGTCGCAACAAAGCGAGAAAGGATGCTAAGAGGGAAGGCGAGGTCCGGGCGAGTGCACGTCATCAGGTACATGAGGCAGCCCACCAACTCTGCGTAGGGACCACTGGGCTCGAACGGCTCGTCAGGAAAAGGCCCAGTGAGTCTGTGGTCTACAGCAAGAGGGGTGGGAGGAGGAGAGGAGTGCTGAAGCCCGAACCGCTGAAGGACCTGCTGCACCATGTGTGACTGAGTCAGAGTGATGGTGCGAGCGGCTCTGTCCCTGGAGATCTGCAGGCCAAGGTAGCGGCGCAGTTCCCCAAGGTCAGTGCAGGTGTGTCTCTTCTGCAGTTCGGACTTCACCTCCGCCAGTGCAACTGTGTCGGCTGTGGCAAAAACCAGGTCGTCAACGTAGACAAGAACAAAGAAAGGTGTGCGCCCACGACGAACAAACAGCGACGGGTCGGCGGAAGACGGCTCAAACCCAAGGTCGGACAGAGTAGAGCGGAGAGTGTCGTGCCACTCACGGGGTGCCTGGCGGAGACCGTAGACCGGTCGTCTGAGGCTCCACTGGGTCCCAGGCGGGAAAGTGCCAGTGAAGCCCGGAGGACGACGCAGCCAGATCTCCTCGTGTAGGCTGCCCTGCAAGAAGGCAGTGGAGAAGTCGAGAGAGTGTAGCTCGTAGTCTCTCTGCGCTGCTACGTGCAGTAACACCCGAAGAGTGGTCATCTTCGGGGTGGGCGCAAAGGTCTGAAAGAAGTCAACTCCCTCACGCTGACTGAAACCTCTAGCCACGTAGCGTGCCTTGAAGACTGGAGGAGATCCCGGCGGCCGCTTCACCTTGAAGATCCACATGCCGTCAACAATGTTCGCCCCTGGGGGGGGAACCTCGTCAACGTAAGTGCCTGTGGACCTGTAGGAGGCCATCTCTGCGTCCATGGCAGCTCTCCACTGAGAGGCCCAAGGCCCTGACACTGCCTCAGCGTAAGTGCGAGGAGTAGGTATGTCAGGAGCGTCGGGGTCTCCCTCAGGAGCGAGCAGCATGGCACAGAGATGAGGTGAAGCGGCTGCCAGGAACTCTAGCTCAAACTGTCTATCCTCTAGGACGGCACAGCCAAGGGCAAACTCACCCCCGGCGGACAGAGGACGGACAGGAGGAGCCGCCACAACGCGAGTGGCGTAGTCAAGGCGACGCGTAGCAGTAAAGTCTGTGACAGCGGCAGTGAGGACCGCGACGGAGGAAGGAGAGGCACGAGGGTCTGTAACAAGAGAGGCGAGAACACGAGAGAGAGTGGGGCGGTACGTGCGGTAGTAGTCAGTGACCGGAGTAGACAGGGAGGCAGTGAGGGACGACTCAGGAGGACGAGGAAGAACAGACGGAGGAGAACGAGGAGGACTAGGACGAAACAACACGGTACGAAGGTCACGGACAGGTGACGAGGGACGAGCACGAGGAGGACGAGAGGCCCAAGTGTGGGAGAGAGGAGTGGGAGACGGAGGAGACTGAGAACGAGGGAACACAGCCGGAGCTGAGTCCGGAGGAGGAAACGTCGGACCGAACACAGGAGGAGAGGAGGAGGGGAGACCAAGGGCCCGAAGGCCAGTAACAGAGGCCGGAGGCTGCTCCGGCTGCTGCGGCGGCTGCTGCTGCTGCTGCTGCTGCTGCTGCTCCCGCTGCAACTCCAGCCTCTCACGCTCCACCCGCTGCTGAACCTCCAACCTCTCACGCTCCAAACGCTGCTGCTCCTCACGCTCAAGACGAAGACGGGTCTGGTGTCGAGTCAGGTAGGGGTGAGGAGGAGGAGTGGTGTCAGGAGACGAAGAAGAAGAACCGGCTCCACCCTCAACAGCACCCGGCTGAGAACCCCCAGAGCGTGTACCCCCTGCGGCAGCACGACTAGTACCTGTAGGAGGTGGACCCGCACCCCCAGTCGGGGTGCCTCCAGTGGCACCAGCACCAGCCTCAGACTCTCCAGCTCCAGAAACACCACCAGCTCCAGCACCACCAGAACGGGCAGCCGCGGCGGGTGCACGCTCAGCGCCAACGCCAACACCCCCAGAACGGGCGGCTCCTGTAGGTGCACTAACAGCTCCAACGCCAGCACCCCCAGAGCGAGCACCGCCAGAGCCCTCACCCCGAGCACCAACACCCTCAGAGTCCGCAGTGGCCGGTAAAGGAAGCGCTGACGGCTGCTGCGGAGGCTGTGAGGACGACTGTGGGGAAGGAGGAGAGACCTGGGGGGGTACCGAGGGGGGGGGAGTAGCGTGGGACACACCAGACGGAGCAGGACCAGGGGGGGGTACCGGAGGAGCAGGGGCAGGAGGAGGAGGAGGTGGAGCCAGGAAGAGAGGGGGGGGGGGGGACCGGGAGACCTCGACAGGGGTACCGGACGTAGTAGGGGACAGACTCGTCGAAACGGACGTCACGAGAGTCAAAGAACCGGTGGGAGGGAGGGTGGTAAAAGGTGAAGTCAGAGGAGGCCTCAGGGAAACCAAGGAAGACACAGGGGACGCCGCGAGGTGAGAGCTTGTCCGCAGAGGTGTCGCGGACAAGCGCCAAGCAGCCCCAGACACTAAACCTCGACGCAACACCAGGGGACCCTGTCCAAAGACTGGTCGGTGAAGCCCCTGGCCGAGAGACGCGAGGCCAGAGGTTCAGCTGGTGAGCGGCGTACCGAGCCGCGTAGGGCCACAGAAAATGGGGCGCGCGGGCGTGGATCATGGAGGTGCGGGCAATCTCCATGACCAGGCCTAGCCGGCGCTCAGCAACCCCATTCTGCTGTGGAGAGTCTGGAAGAGTCCAGGACTGGGTGATGCCCTGCTCAGCACAGAATCTGGCGAGAACGCCGGAGCGAAACTCACCCCCACGGTCGGAGTGGAGACAACTGACACGACGACGACGAGTACTCTCGGTGGCGAGCAGCCACCGGATCAGCGTAGAAGTCACGTCGGACTTCTTCGCCAAAGGGAACACGGTGGTGTACCGAGAGTAGTCGTCAACGACCACTAGAAAGAAGCTCTCTCGCTCAGGGCCAAGCCGGGAAGCGGGGCCCCAGACGTCTAAGTGGAGTGTCTCAAAGGGCTCGGAGGCTGGACGAAGGGAGGAGGAGTGAGGAGTGGCGCGCAGCCGACCCTGGACACAAGGACCGCACGGAGGAGCGGGGGACGGCGGGAGCGGCGGGAGGTCGCGGGGGAGGCCTAAGACAAGACGCTGACTGGACATAGCGCGGAGACGAGAGAGGGACGGGTGACCAAGGCGGTGGTGCCAGAGGAGGACAGGGTGGGACAGCGACCGACACGAGCACGACGC